AGGGGGCTAGCTGTGAGTATGTAGTCAGCCACCCCCCATATAACAGGGGCCCGGGCCGGTGCAGAGCAGTATTAAAGGGCTGTGGCCCCTGATTACCTCAGGTGCCGCAGGGGGCCCATGGGGCAGCTGCCTTCGGGCCCGCAGGAGTAACTGGGCCCGGGGCAGCTGCCCCTTTTGCCCCTCCTTAAAGACGGCCCTGCATACATACCATACTTAGTTATAATGTTTATGGAGATCAGAGTGTTTCTCTAATTGCTAAATAATGATGCAGGTCCTGTCTTTGTAAAGTGACTATAAAATAAGGTATGCTAGATTAATAAACACAGTTATTGCATTATTGTCTAATGTAGCTTGAAACACACTTAACATTATGACCAGTGACTAAGGTGAGTGGATTCTTGCTAAGCGACATTAAAGCTTCATTTGCTATTATCTGATTGTTGTGTGTCCATGATGAAGATGTGCAAGTTAATCTGTCCATTTACTGAACTTGAGATCTTTACACTGACCGGAAAAGAGTGTTTGTTAAATATAAAAGCCGAACACCCGTTAGTGACCTACAGAAGTGGTTTTTGCTCCATTTACCAAATTATAATTGTTTGTAGTTATATGCACGAGAATTGCTAAATCAATCCCAGGCCCAGATAATGCTCCATTCTTACAGTAACTTCTGTGTGAACATTAAAGCTGTATTACTGGGTAAATTAAGCAATGCTGGTGCAATCTATACATTATACCTGGACAATCTATACATCATACCTGGACAATCTATACATTATACCTGGACAATCTAAACATCATACCTGGACAATCTATACATTATACCTGGACAATCTATACATCATACCTGGACAATCTATACATTATACCTGGACAATCTATACATCATACCTGGACAATCTATACATTATACCTGGACAATCTATACATCATACCTGGACAATCTATACATCATACCTGGACAATCTATACATTATACCTGGACAATCTATACATCATACCTGGACAATCTATACATTATACCTGGACAATCTATACATCATACCTGGACAATCTATACATTATACCTGGACAATCTATACATTATACCTGGACAAACTATACATCATACCTGGACAATCTATACATCATACCTGGACAATCTATATATCATATTATACCTGGACAATCTATACATCATACCTGGACAATCTATACATTATACCTGGACAATCAATGCATCATACCTGGACAATCTATACATCATACCTGGACAATCTATACATCATACCTGGACAATCTATATATCATACCTGGACAATCTATACATCATACCTGGACAATCTATACATTATACCTGGACAATCTATACATCATACCTGGACAATCTATACATTATACCTGGACAATCTATACATCATACCTGGACAATCTATACATTATACCTGGACAATCTATACATCATACCTGGACAATCTATACATTATACCTGGACAATCTATACATTATACCTGGACAATCTATACATCATACCTGGACAATCTATACATCATACCTGGACAATCTATACATTATACCTGGACAATCAATACATCATACCTGGACAATCTATACATCATACCGGGACAATTCATACATCATACCCGTACATCATCTCTCAGTAACCTACAGTTCTTACATGGACAATCTATATATCATACCTGGACAATCTATACATTATACCTGGACAATCTATACATTATACCTGGACAATCTATACATCATACCTGGACAATCTATACATTATACCTGGACATCATATCTCAGTAACCTACAGTTCTTACCTGGACAATATATACAGAAACCTGAGCAATCTGTGAAATATTGATGTTATTAACAGAACCTCCAGAAAATTAAAACATAGTTTGGGTGTATATAATACATAGGTAACCTATACAATATCTACTTCATCTTGGTAAATATCGGAATATTGGGTTAATGATCAGATAATCTATTATTTTTGATGATCTACAATCAGATTGTATAAAAGGAATGGAGCATTTTAGTTACGAAGAAAGGTTAAAAAAATTAAATCTGTTTAGTTTGGAAAAACGGCGCCTGAGAGGGGATATGATAACTTTATACAATTATATTCGGGGCCAGTACAAACCTTTATCTGGAAATCTATTCATAAACAGGGCTATACATAGGACACGAGGTCACACATTTAGGCTGGAAGAAAGGAGATTTCATCTAAGGCAAAGAAAAGGTTTTTTTTATAGTAAGAGCAATAAGGATGTGGAATTCTCTGCCTGAAGAGGTGGTTTTGTCAGAGTCACTACAGAGGTTTAAACTGCAATTGGATAAATACTTACAAAAACATAACATACAGGGATATAATTTCTAATTAGTGGGGTAATAGCTGATTGATCCAAGGAGACATCTGACTGCTATTTTGGGGTCAAATAGGAAAAAAAAAAATTCCTAGCTTGTGGCAAAATTAGAAGCGCTTCAGACTAGGTTTTTTGCCTTCTTTTGGATCAACAGCAACAACATATGTGAGGAAGGCTGAACTTGATGTCTCTTTTCAGCTATTTAACTATGTAACGCCTGTTTGTCTTGAGCCATTACAGTGAGAGTCTGTATCATATATATATTAGACTGATCCATCACTTAACAGGATTCCAGATTCAAACTGCTCCATAGATAGAGCAATCCAAGACAATTATCTCAATCTTCACCTGACCTCATCCATGATGTTTTGCTAATATCCTCCAGACACAATGAGCATGGGTTCCTCTTCTGTGTTTCTCTTTTGACTCATGGAGACCCTAGTCACGTGCAAATAAGCCAAACATGAAGAATGGGCAAAACGTAAGTGGTTGTAGAATCCACGAGTTGTAAATAGAATCCATGAGTTCTGTATAAAATACCTGAAGAATTCAAGACTCCACTAAGTGTGCCTGCTTGCTATAAAAGGGACATATCACAAGAACAAGGAAGTATTTTATAACGAAGGAGGTGGGACCGAGGCGGTGGAATTAAGATGTAGAATGCCGCAATACATTTATTAATTTAGTTTGTAAAAACTATATAAAAATCAAACATGAAAAAACAGATAAATATTTAGACCAGCAGCTATGAAATGCAGGAAATGTGTGTTGATGTTTGGAGCGTCCCTGTAAATATAAGAGTTGTGATATACAGACGTTTGACACTCTGAAAAAGAAAACATGATTGAGCATAAACTCAATTTATGGCCACCATTTGTACCAGGGGAGATTGCTCTGTATGGAGATTCTACTCACTAAAGAAGTTATTATTTTAGAACGCCGGTCACCCACTGTTTATTGAATGAAACCATAAACATAAGAGGGTTCCTGACTTATTTCTTCTCCTTTGATCCATACAGAGGACATAAACAATGCTGTCTGTCCGGAGCCTGTAATGTTGTCTCAATCCTATGCTAATCAGAATTTGACGGCATCACACATACTTCATTAGTGCTTACATTTGAAACTTGAGCGCGATTGTGATCTTGAAAGAACCTTGACTTTGCTGTGCCCCCCCCCCATGGGATTTCAAAAGAAGGCGAGGTGATGGCTGCACATTCTGGGCTACAGAATGTGGATTATCTCCGCTTGTTATTGTTTCCAGCAAATATATCACAGTATACAGCTTACAGGATCCAATTAAGACACACTTTGCTGAATCGATGGCTAACATCTTAATGTATTTAATAGAATTACAGTATGGATATTAGTTCGAGGCTGCAATGGGGTCCAGCCTTGTCACTTGTGATTAGAAAATATTTCACCAGTTAATTTCCTGAAAAAACATGCAGAGACGATTCTCACCAAAGAACCGTCCGTCAAAATTTATTCAAGAGACAAGTTCATTTCTAGCAACGCACACTGCGTGTGAGGACAGCTATGGTGGGAAAACACAGTCCATATTCACTAAGATGGGATATTTCCAAAGATGCTGTAACCCCTTAAAAACAAATTAAATATTATTAAAATAGCCCATATTCGTGGTTTAGAAAATTATCTACAATTCATTTTGTGCTAAGCAGATTGTTGTCTGAGAACGCTGTGTCTGCTCCTCATATATAGATTAGTACGGCCAGAGGAGCCAGTTACACCGATCCTTATACATCCTGTCACAGGAAGAATAAACACAGCTACCACACCAGTTCACAAGGAAAAGGTTTCATCCTTTAGATTAGGGCCCAAAAAGGAACCAAACAAACTGATCCAACTCCAGCAGAGCACGGTCCACATATATCAGTAGGCTTGGGACATGTGATAATAAACTGGTGTCTACATGATTATACTATGTCATAACGTACTGTTGTTTAAATCACTCTCGATGCAGCCTTGTTATTGGCTCTGACACTGTATACACAGGCCCCCTCTTAGGTACCACGTGAGTAGACTCCAGAAGGAGAATTGGACTAACCAAGTGCACCTGTTGGTTACTGTTTGTAACATGTTGTCTTGGTCAGGTGTTTATATAGTACGATGCTACAAACAGACACAGTGTGGCATTGTATAGATTGCTCCGATACTGAGATGCTGTAATGATATTCCACACATTGCTGTCTGTCTCATATACAATGAACTCCCTGATACTTCATTCACACTGGACATGTATGTACGTAGTGGGGAATTGCGATGCAGCCTAGAACAAAAACTAACTTAGTATGGATGAACAGGCCACATCATTTATTATCACAAACTAAATTTCCTGAATAACACATCCATAACTTTATTTATTAAATCTCTTCTTTTTCTGTAACAAAAACGTTAGACATAAATAAGCATAAATTAACATATATACATATATAACTCCACCCATAGTGTTATACAGTGACCCAACTGTCCTTGCCAATAAACATACAGTGGTTCCTAATCACCACTTCCTCTCACCTCCCCCCTCGTCATAAAAATCATATATTTCCAATGCCCGCCATCAGCCGACCTTATCCACGCTCGATGGGCACGACACCTCAGGCAACCAAATGTTTAACCTTTTGAAGCAGGGGAGGTTGAGACCTTAAAAACTTGTTCATCTCATTCCATATACTTAAACGTAACCACTCAAACTCAATTGGCAAGGACATACCCCCGGCTAGCTGTGACGAAATATACCAATAGGGCAGGCGGGCGGGAGGGAAGCCGTTTGCTGGCCCGAATCCCAAGTGGCACTGAGGTAAGACCTCCCCCACACTAACTTACACAGAACATAATCCCACCCACACACTCTTTCCCATCCAATCCCATGCATCTACCCCCACACTCCTACATGTGCCCTTGTCCGCTTAGCTGCGCTATCTCCCCAGGGCCTTATGGACAGGACTGGGTCTCAGAGGGTCACATAGGGCACACAGAGGGGAAAACAGGAGCAGTGATGTGGTGCCAGTTTTTTTTTTACTAGTTCTGTACAAACAAGCAGCTTTATGTTAAATAATGGTTTATATCAGTATGACTTCCTACCATGTACCTTAAAGCAGAGAGTTCTATTTTAAGAATCAAGTAAAACATTCATTTACATTTCTACTGAGGATAAAAAATGCAAAAAATCAAACCTCTAACATGGAAAGTGCAGTCTGAAAGGATTTATTTCCTTGCTTCATCTAAGCGGTAAATATAACATAATCCTCTGCAAATGAACCTCTCTACCACACTCCCAGAAAGCCTTGCAGCGACAAAAAGTAAAATCTTTTGATTTTGATGAATTCTAGAATTCTGCTATTTTCTATCATTCTGATGTTATTCTAATTTCACACCTAGTGCTGCAATGCATGGGTTAGAGTCTGTATAAATCCCAAAGTCCATCCGCAGACAGACATTGCAACATTCATGGGTCTCATTGCTGGTTCTTGGTTTAAAGTATAAATCAAATGCACACACCTAGGTTTAAAAATAAAATAACAATAAAATGAAATGAAATTAATGACTAAAATTTAAGAGTCTGATATATTCCATAGGAAGAGGTAATAATCTAAAGTTGGAGGAAGGGAAAAATGGAGATACCATTAGTTTTGCCAAAGGCTTGTACATAAACCGATCATCCACAACTATAAAACCACCTGTCTCTCACATGTTGCCAAAACAGCTCTAATACTCATGGACTCCACAAGATTTCTGAATGTGTCCTTCAAGTAGCGAGGAGGGACAGCCAGAGATCAGATTTTAATGCTTTGCCTTGTTTCTCAAACAATTCTTGACCAATGTTTATAGTGTGGCAAGGTGCATTATCCTGCTGAAAGAGGCCACTGCCACCAGGGAACACTATTGCCACGAGGAGTGTACAAGGTCTGCAACAATCTCTAGGTCGATGATATGTGTCAAAGTAACATCCACCTGAATGCCAGAACCCAAGGTTTCCAACAGAACATTGCCTACAGCGTAATAGTGCCTCCACTTGCCTGCCTTCTTCCCATAGTGCATCCTGCTGCCATCTTTTCCCCAGGTAAATGACGCACATACACCCGGCCACCCACCTGACCTAAAAGAAAACGTGATTCATCAGATCATGCAACCTTCTTCCATTGTTCAATGGTCCAGTTCTGACACTCGGGTCAATATTGAAGCCTATGCAGCCCTAGACACAGAAAACTGTGATACAATGTGTTTTCCTACACCTTTCTATCATGGCCAGCATTAAGACCCTGGGGAGATAGCGCAGCTAAGCGGACAAGGGCACATGTAGGAGTGTGGGGATAGATGCATGGGAGTGGTTTAAAAGAGTGTGTGGGTGGGATTATGTTCTGTGTAAATTAGTGTGGGGGAGGTCTTACCTCAGTGCCACTTGGGATTCAGGCCAGCAAACAGCTTCCATCCCACCTGCCCTATTAGTATATTTCGTCACAGCTAGCCGGGGGTATGTCCTTGCCAATTGAGTTTGAGGGGTTACGTTTAAGAATATGGAATGAGATGAACAAGTTTTAAGGTCTCAACCTCCCCTGCTTCAAACGGTTAACATTAGGTTGCCTGAGGTGTCGTGCCCATCGAGCGTGGATAAGGTCGGCTGATGGCGGGCATTGGACAGATATGATTTTTATGATGAGGGGGGAGCTGAGAGGAAGTGGTGGTTAGGAACCACTGTATATTTATTGGCAAGGACGGTTGGGTCACTGTATAACACTATGGGTGGAGTTATATATGTATATAGGTTAATTTATGCTTATTTATGTCTAACGTTTTGGTTACAGAAAGAAGAGATTTAATACATAAAGTTTGTAACGGACCGTTTTGCACACAAGGGGAAAAAAACGTTTAGGCGATCGGCCCCCTTTCCAGAGATGCAGGCACAGCTACTGCAGAACACCAAACTCCCGAACTGGATACAAAATAGCACTCCAACTCCCGAACTGGAACCTCCCAAATAGCTGCTAGCAGACGAACAGGAAAAGCAGACCCTCAGCTTACACTCCTGGCAATCAGTCTCTAACAGCATACAGTGAATCCCCCCAAGAACGAGACAAGGCTCCGTGTTGAGGGTCAAGCAGTGGTCTGAGGTGCTGGCACACCCAGCCTGGTTTTTATTACAGTCTTGCAAATACAGGACCGCCCACAGGGAGGTATAAAATATCCAGTAACATATTAGTTACAACCCACAGATTCCCTCCCCCTTATCCTGAGAGGTAACCCAATACACATACCTTTTACCACAATGCATCCTGGCTTCCTCTCCTCTGCCCTGGAGATAAGTGAGAAGTAATTCAATTATCTCCCAGGACAGGGACAAGACTCCATTATGCACATGGTGACACAAAGACAGTAAAACACTTTAAAATACAGAAAGTCACCTTTTACACATAACACACAGACATTTAACATATCCCCAGATAGCTCAGGTCTGAGCGCACATAATTAAGCGAATGGCGCTCAGACCACACGAATACAGTTTAATCGCCATGGAGCCAAAGTCTTTACAGTCAGTTTCATACAAATGGGCTCCATGGGATTCCTATCTGGGGTATAACACATTCAAACAAATCTACCGAACCCCAGGCAGAAAAGCACGAATACAGCTTTTCTGCAGGTAAAAAAAGATGTATTTTAACAGGGGGCCATAGTCCAAAGGCAGCAGGCGAGTAACCAGGCTTCTCCAATGCAATGTGGCGAGATTGGTCTCGTCACAAAGTTATAGATGTGTTATGCAGTAATATAGTTTGTGATAATAAATGCTGTGGCCTGTTCATCCATACTAAGTGGTCTGTCGTTATTGGGGGGGTGTAAATGGGTTTAGATTTGTGCTAGGCTGCATCGCGATTCCCCACTACGTACATACATGGTTTTGGGAAATTTGAGCCACAGCCCATGACCCTGATGCTGGTTCACTGGTTGCACTTCATTGCACCACTCTTGGAAGGTACTAACCACTGCATAGTGGACCTTTTTGCGTGCCCTTTTTTTCTGCTGGCAAGATATGAAGTTCAAGAACTGACTGTTCACTTGCTGCCTAATATATCCCACCTTGATAGGAGCCATTGTAACAATATAACCAATGTTATTCACGTCACCTGTCAGTAGTTTTTAACTGTTTTAATTAATGTTAATGATGTGGCTGATCAGTGTACACAGAATAGCCTTCCTGAGGAGGTGTTAAAGACTGATATAGTGAAATTTCAAGAAAGCTTAAAATAAACATTAATATCCTCAGCAGGAAACACAACCAAGACTAAAGCGTGTCATTTAAGATTGGAGTGGGCCAATATACATTTACCTGCCTGCCAAATCTATTTCTTGAAATTATGATGAGGTATAAAAAGTAAAATTAGGTTTGGTATTGATCCACAGACCCAGGGGTTCCAGATGTCCAATTCCTGGTAGCAGAAATAATCTATAAGAAGGTCCCATTAGATGACACTTAGCTCGGAAACTGTAACTCCTATCAATACCATGAAAGCGATAATGCTAACAATCCTATGTTAACAAAATAAACAGCGTCAGATTGCAGAGATGACACCATGTGTGCTGAAATGCAAGCTTTGGTAAATGGACTCTGTGTTCACAATAAACAAATGTCTGCAAATGATCGATGGAGGTTTTACACAAAGCAGACACCAGGATAAACAATTCATAAAATCTATTCAGCTCCGCGCCGTGGGACGAACGCTACATAATACAGAATATTAATAAGAGCAAAGCGTTGTGAAAGGCGCAGGACCCGCTCCTCCTTCCTTGGCTAAATGATGTTATAAGACAGAAAACGTGGAAATGTCACCGGCGGCAGACATATGGCTCATTCTCTGCAGCCGCTTCATTGTGACTCACCCTGGCACAAAGCAGGCTGATGAACCCCTGGGAGTCAGTGCAAACCCATTAACCCCTCTACTGCCACCATCTGTGCTATATACCTACCCCTTCGCTGACACTGGCAAGGGTTAAATGTACAATCTGTATTAATAGGCTTCTACTGATCAGGGTGTTAACACCTTCATATCCAGGGACAAGCTTGACAGGTTTATGTGTAGTTACACTGATACTTAGAAATCTAAATCAGAGAGAGATAATATTTACTAAATTCAGGGTAATTTTTGCCGTGCCCAGATTAGCCGTTACTAATCTAGTTTGGCAACCTGTGTACTCTACATACCGGGACAAATACAAATGGATAATAATATGTGAGGCATGTGTTTTTCTTACTGGAAATACCATGATATGAATTTAAGACAACAGGTTTATAAGTGAGATTCTGCAAATTTCCAGAATATTTGTGACCCACAAACATTTTGAGAATACTATCAGTGAAATCATCAGTGAAAAGAGCCCCCTTTTATATTGGATAGTGTCTCATACACGAACGCAGTTTGCCTGTCTGTCTGTCTTTCTTTCTTGTAAATTCACTTATTAGAATTATTTCTCATTTTAGGAGAGGTCAAGCGAAAAGCCTAAATGTTATGTTATTAATGTAATACGAAACCCACAATGTCATTATGTCTCTGTCTAATTTCTTCTCTCTAGTGCAATTAAACTGTTTCTGGAATGGCTTCATGTTCTCAGAAGAAGCTGGAACCATCAAACAAAACCACAAACAGAACTCAGACTCCAGCGGTTCCTCATCCCAGCAATAAACATGTAATGTGGGGAGACAGACATGAGGGAGGCCAGCTGATCCGGCCAGGTTAATGCACCACTTGGGATATTTCCGCAGACTCTATGAGTTGCAATAACTGCAGTATAAACCTGGAGGGCTGCTAAGACTATGAGCTGTCCGGAGATACGAAGGCTCGCTGTCCAAATAGATGGCAAATATGACTAGTGAGGACTCAATATATCAATGT